TCGATACATGTTGATTCTGTAGCACGGGAGCAAAGTGCTGAATCACATTCAGCACCGTGACACACTCCAAAAACATTTATGTGGGCTGATGTGTGATGGGCCACAGCGCCCCTACTGCTTGAGATAGGCATGTCCCCCCCCAGCCTGACAGCGACGCGTCCGTGAAGACTGACACGTGACGTGGGTCTGCTGACGGAGGCTCCCTCCGACAGAACCAGGGTGTTTCCCCAGTGTCGGAGGTCTGCTCTCACGGAGGGAGGGACAATGATCATCCGTCTCTTTGTTTTACTGGATCCACACGCAGATGCACAAACTACCTCTGGCGGCGTCTCATGTGTAATAAACCCAGCGGGACCACTGTGTGAGCTGATGACATCATTCCTAACAGCTTCATGACAGGGACAGCTGTTACCACTCTGCCAGGTCTTACGTGGCGGAGCTGGTCTCTTAAAGTGTCGATTCTCGTTTGTGATAAATGAGCCTTCATGGTGGTTGAATCTAACTCCACTCCCAGATAAACAATTGTCTGGGCCGGGAAAATCGAGCTTTTCTTCCAATTTATGGCAAAAAAATCAGATTTGACAGGTGTGATGTCAACACCTGGGCTTGCATCACTGCTTCCTGTCTGGAGCGTGACCACCGCAGCTGGTCGTCCAGGTAAAACAAAAACTCTCATCTCTGCTCTGTGTAACAGATGCATGGCTGTCTCCACACACTGAGAACGTACGAGGCGCGAGGGAATACCCAACCGGCAGCCCGTTGTACTGATACTTCATCCCCTGAAAGGAGAAAACGCAGGAATTTTCTGTGTTTTGGGATGATCGGTATGCATTTCTCTGGATGTTGTTCAACAGCTGACTGGTTGTCAACATGTGAAAAAACGGTCTGTCCATGATCGCCTTGTTGAAACTGATAGATCCAAAATCGGTCTCATCCCTCCGATCCGTTTGGGAACCAGGAAGTAACGTGAGTAAAACCCTGTGTTTTCCTCTCCGTTGGGAACCCTGGAGATTACTTTTATCAGAAGCACTTGGACTTCTGCATTTAGGGATGAGATTTGGTCTGGTGATGACAGGACTGTCTCTATAACTCCTCCTAACGGAGGAGGTCGGGTTGCAAACTGTAACTTGTAACCATTTGCATAACCCCCTGTCCATCCATCTGACCGGCGAGCATGTTTTAGCCGCTCTACATAACGTTCGTGGAGTGAACGTGCGTTTAAGTGATGCATCATGTTTTGTACGGCTGTCACCAGTCCGCCCCTCAACCGCCGTCATGCGTCGCGGGAATGTCTTCCGCGTGACCCAAGGTGAAGCTTCCTCGAAAAAGGCTCTGAACGCGCCCGTGCGCTGCGTTCGAACCGCGGACAAACCTTCATGTACAGGTGGGCCGGTGTGTGCTGAGGCGAAGCGTGTGACAGCTGATGACGCCGTGGGGCTGCACGTTCAACGTCGCTGTGCGAACGTTGAGAGGCGGGGGGCGTAACTTCATCTACACCGTGCTGTTGGACTGAAGGCTGCGAGCCCCGCGGGAGCACACGTTTTCTCTGGAGGGACGCGCGCCGCTCTCGCTGGAGGGACGCGCGCCGCTCTCGCCGGAGGGACGCGCGCCGCTCCCGCCGGAGGGAAGCGCACCGCTCTTGCCGGAGGGACGCGCGCCGCTCCCGCCGGAGGCGGGACTCGTCACCGGGTTCGTTCAGCTGTCTCACGCTTATGCTGCCGTGAGCTGCCAAGTGCAGAGACGCGATGGGTGACGGCTGCTCGCGTTTGCTTCGGTGAGGCGTGTGTTGCTCTTGTGAGAGCGAGGACCTCCACCCGACCCGGACTGCGGTCCCACATTCATACCGATGTGAGCCGGTGAGCGCCGGGCAGCTGTGTGTGTGTGCGCCATCATCAACGTAGCGCCGTTGGATGAAGACTGTTTTCATCGCACGAGTGCGCGTTTGACACCGCTTGGGTGAGGATCGTGCAGCTCGGATTGACAATGAGCTATTTCGCTTACCATTGTGTCGTGTGATCGACTCGTCATGTCTTGGAGCGGCGGTGAGTTTTAAAAAAACTTTATTAAAGGATACCGGCTCATTATGTGTGGAGGATGTGTGCGCAGCCACTGTGAGGTCATCCGAGCTTACAGACTGGCTAAAAACAGACACTTAGATCATTGAATGATGATTTATTTCAACTTTCGTGTCACTTTTACACACACCCTCCGTAGACCGTCATTTTTTTAAAACTTCTCCCCTTTAAGCTCTGCGATTTGTTTGCCCAGAGCGCTGTCTTGCAGGCGATCTCTGGGGAAATGCTGAACTGCAGGTTGCCGGGATGAAGAGGGCTGGACTCTGACGGGCGGGGCTGGTGGTGGAGCTGAGCAAGACGCCGCCGCCATGGCCGGGATGAGCCGCGCGGCTTGATGAGGTGGCGCACGGCCTCTGGCACCTCCTCCGACTGCTTCGAGTTCGCCAGCGTGGTTTTGAAGCTGCTCCTGAACAGCGTGTCCGCCGTGATTGGGCCCTCCATCAGGTCTTTGTGCAGTTTCTCCAGCAGCAAGGGAGAGTGACGGAGCTAGGTGGATGTTGAATCATTGTCATCCACGCTGCAATCCTGGACAGGCAAACCGTAGAAGAGGCACACATACTGAGGATGGCGTCGGCTGCCTTACAGAGGGAGCTCTTGGTCTCCTAAGGCAGGTCTGCGGCCTCCAGCTCCCACATGCTAACTGCTAGCAACGCCACGTTATTGTTAGCTGCGGCTGCCTGAAAAGCACATTGATGGGCTCGATTGGAGAACGTGGTCACCGTCTGGTCGTGTTTCCCAGGAGGGACGGGACGCTGCTCCAACCTGGACAGCTTCGCTCCGAAAGCTTCCGCGAGGCTTGGCTCAAGGGGGGTTACCGAGGGATAGCCCCGCTCGGTGAACCCCTCCACTCTGGTGATGGGTGCGGACTGGAGACCGGCTCCCCCAATCTACCAGGAAAGAACCGTCTGTGGCCTCGCCCGTAGGACGTCCTGTTGGAACACGAGGCCATATGGATCAAGACAGTGGGCCAGAATGGAGCCCGGTAAACAACCTTCCCGTCGGATCATCCGAACTAGCGGGAAAGGCGTGGGACGTAGAAAAAAGGGGTCCCATCATGTCAGCCTCCTCCTGGGTTACGCCGGGCAACCCCTGAGGGCGCCGTCGGCCGGGAGCGGTGTGATCGCCGATGCGAACGAGGTGGGATGGGGTGAGCATTCACTCAGCCCCCCTCCACCGACACTACGCTCTCCAGGAGGGAATGAGCAGCGGGGGCTGCAGCTGAGCACACCTGTCCCGGAGGAACCATCCGATTCGCTCCGAGGGTCGGCGATAAGAGGAAAAAATTACAAGATGGCATTGTCCAGCGTGTAGTGACCTGTCACTGAGAAATATTCCTCGGCGCTTACCTTGAAATAAGACTGCTCATCAGCTTCTCCTCGGGGAGGAGAACTCACCGGACGACCGGAGGTCGACTGCCGGGCCAAGCATCCTTAACAAAGGTTGGTCATTTACACAATTTTCCTTCTTTGTTCTTCTGACAGTGCTAATTTAGCTCGCTGAAGAAAAATGGGAGCCGATTTCCCGCTCTTAACATAATTTATACGGACCGGGTGGGGCCCACACAGCAGGTGGGCGTGGACTAAATTTTTTCAGTGCTTATGCTCCGCATAACGAGATAAACCCACTAAAGCGAAGGCCTTAAAGGGCGAAGCCTATACGAAATAGAACTGGATGAATCTCAAACTTAATATTCCTTCTTTTGATGCTGATGACATTTTACTTTATGTGGATAACTGAAGCTCAGCTTTCTCTGGAACCATAAATATAGTCGTACCTATATCAAAGTACAACATTCAATGTAGTAAGAGGAGAGAAAATAAGCCTTCCTTCCTGTTTAATGAACGATTTTAAGTCATAATATTCTTCATTAAGTAGATTAAAAATCTGCAAAACTGCTAAAATCATCTCACAACAGATACAAACTTTTTGTTTTAATTAAAACAATGTTTCTCAAGGAAAAAAACTGATGAGCTTGTCAGCAAGTAAGGGGCGTTTACCTTCAGGACAAATTGAGGTTGTCGATTGGTCAGTTACTGACACGCCTTCTGAGTTGATTGACAGGTCGCACCGTCAAGGATCCGATTGAAAAAAGAAAAAAAACACGAGAGCTGCAGCAGCCGCACTGGGAGGAGGCAGGGCTGCCCAAATGCAGTGGAAGCGCAATGGTTTGTGAAGCGCAGGGCTCCAAGTAAAGCAGGAGATAACCAGATATTTTGCTTGTGCCCTCACTGCCCTGGGCCCATTAGAGCTCATGGACCCCTGGGCAGTTGCCCAGTTGCCCATATGGGTAATCCAGCCTTGAACAGAACTGGAAGTGGCAGAAATGAACATGTTGAGGTTCTCCTTAGGAGTGAAAAGGATTGATAAGATTAGGAATGAGATCATCAGAGGTACAGCACAAGTTGAACAACTGGGAGATAAAGTTAGAGAGGCCAGACTGAGATGGTTTGGACATGTCCAGAGGAGGGACAATGGTTTGGACATGTCCAGAGGAGGGACAGTGGGTATATTGGTAGAAGGATATTAGAAATGCAGCTGCCAGGAAAAAGACAAAGAGGAGATATATGGATGCAGTTAGAGAGGACATGGAGGTAGTTGGAGTGAGGACAGAGTGAGATGGAGGAGGATGACTCTCTGTGGACACACCTGAAGAGGGAAAAGCCAAAAGAAGATCTTTCATTTTGATAAATTATTTCTGTTCTGCCCATTTTATCATCTGTTTTGCTTGTATACATAAAACAACTCAGTTTCAACATCTTCATTAAATTAAACACAGTAATTAGCATTTTACCACATTCTTTTATAAAATATAAAGTTCTACCTGTGTCCATGTGTCTGTCTATATGAACAACTGTCTGCCCACCTGTCTATCTGTCTGTCTATCTTATCCACCATTTTGACTCAACTGCCTCACTTGTCCCACAGGTACGACCGGGCAATTGACCTGTTCACCAGGTCTTGTGCCGGTTACTGTGTTGCGACATTCATTTTGGGAATTGGAGACCGACACAACTCCAACATCATGGTGAAAGAGAACGGACAGGTGAGGACCCCCCCACACACACACACACACACCCACACACACACACACATACATACATTCTGCTTCAAGTATCCTGATGCATGCTCAATAATCCAGGTAGAAAAATCCAAAAAAGTTCAATCTGGTCCTCTGGACATTCAAAAAAAACCAAAACAAAGCAAAACAACAAAAAATGTAGAAACGTTTCGTCTCTCGTCCGAGAGACTTCTTCAGTCTGAGGTGCTGTATTCAGCTCAGTCTCTTAAATAGCACCTTCTCAGAGTGGATCAACCAGTTTGCTGCTGACAACCAAAACCAGCTGCTCACATGGTCAAGAAGGACCATCAGCCTAACAATGGATAATTAGCACACTGATGGCTGTTTACTATTCACAGGGGGTTGAGTGATACTAGCAATACAATACTTACAATGCTGTTATTGGCTGTGTCTGACCACTGAGATCCTGGAACTACCAGGAAACACGGCTCAAGACAGCTGAAGGACAGAATCGTCCCTCGGCACCTACAGTTGGCTGTCCGCAGTGACGAGGAGCTCGGCAGGCTGCTGGGAAGAGTGGCCATCGCTCCGGGAGGAGTTCTGCCCAGTATTCGGGCGGTCCTACAGCCCGGGGGAACCGAGAGGCCAGCCGAGTCTGGGTGGACGGATCGGACAGCAACTGCAGCCAGTTTCTTAGGATCCACTGTGGGATGGACCTTTACAAGAGATCCTTCCTGCCTTCAGCCAGTATCAGGATCTGTAACATCTCTCAATGAAATGAGGATAACGAGTTACAATAACAAATAATTTCCTTTTGGGATTAATAAAGTATTTTTGAATTTGAATTGAATTGAATTGAATTAAGAGACTGAGATGAATACAGCACCTCAGACTGAGGAAGTCTTTTGGATGAGAGACAAAACATTTCTACATTTTTTTGCTTTGTTTTGTTTTTTGTTTTTTTGAATGTCCAGAGGACCAGATTGAACTTTTTTGGATTCTGCTTCAAGCTTTTCCTCTTCCTGGCTCCACCACTGACTCCTCCTCTTCACCTCATAGCTGTTCCACATTGACTTTGGCCACTTCCTGGACCACAAGAAGAAGAAGTTTGGTTACAAGAGAGAGCGGGTTCCCTTCGTCCTGACTCAGGACTTCCTGATTGTCATCAGTAAAGGAGTTCAGGAATCCACCAAGACCAAAGAGTTTGAGAGGTCTTGTATGTTCCTCACCTGTCTCGGAGCCTGTCTCACCTGTGTTTACCTGCTCACCTGTACTTGCCTGTTCTGCAGGTTCCAGGAGATGTGCTACAAGGCTTACCTGGCCATCCGACAGCACGCCAGCCTTTTTATCAACCTCTTCTCCCTTTTGCTGGGCTGTGGCATGCCTGAACTGCAGAGTTTTGATGACATTGCCTACCTCAGGAAGACCCTGGCTCTCGGTAAGGTGGGAGCGAGGTGGGCTGCCATAAATATGTGGCCATTGCCATGTTGTTTTACTTTTGCCATAACCAGTCGTGAGCATGTCCACAGATGTTTCTTCTTCCTACTTTTCTCTTTTTAGAGTCTGACTTAGTAACCCAAGCACCTGCTTTCCTTTCATCGTTGGATTGATACCTCTGTAGAATATTTGTGATGTGTACAGTTCTACCACAGTTAGGACTAATATTGTACAATGCAGTAGCAAACTGTGGCTAAAACAGCTAGGCCTTCAGTTAGGAAACATTATTCAAGCCACCTATAAAGCCAGCCGCTATGGATCACAAGCCAGTGTGTCTCTTGGATTGGTCCCAAGGCTGGGTTAATGGTGAGCTATCTTTCAAGAGGGTAATTAAATGTAAGACACCCCTACCAAAACAAACATGAATTTTGTCTAACCGACATCTTACCGGATCGGCTGAGGTCCGGGTTAACAATGACCACTATCAGTGCTATTGACAGGGAGCCGGCGGAAATTGTGCTACTGTGAGTCAAAGACTACGAGGAGGGAAATGTGGCAGGAGACAGAAGGAGAAGAGGAAAGTCAATAAAAGTAATGTGTTATGTGTTATCATCATTGTATGTTCCCATACTTCACCACTTGCTCTTGCCGAGATTGGACGCTTTTCCCCTCCTCTCCCTTGCCGCTTTGCTTTGCTGCTCTGTCTGTCTGTGAAACTGCGTCTGAGCCTCTCTTGCATATCTTCTGAACCATAATTATGGACTTGTTTTGATCAGTTGATCTCTCAACACAATTGATAACATTTATTCGAAGAGAAGACAGGCTTTAGGCGAGCTGATTTGCCCTGTTGGCATGCACGCAGCTGGATATCTCATCGACTTGAAGACTTGACGATGTATCTATCTCTGTTGCCATTTGTGGATTTTAAGGACGCTTATTTAATTAGATTTACGATAACTGGTTCCTGCTTTTTGGATTCGGCTAGTTGCTGGTTTTATCAACAATCAAGGAAGTTGCCGGCAGCAAATTGGGACCCGATCACGCTGCTTGCCTCTATGATGGCTTGGTTCGTGTCTCGAGTACCCAGACTCAAATGCTTTGGGCAGAATGGATCAGATCTCAGGGATTTTACTCAGTCACGTTCCATCTGTGTGGCCATGTAATTTGAACATTTCAGAACTGAGTGGACCAACACAGATTCAAGGTAGATGTCATTAAGTTCTGCCTGTCCTCAAAACAACTGTGTGTTTATCTGAATTTGGCTCCCTTGGCTGGCCTTGAAGGCCATCTTATCTGAATTCGCCTGGAGAACATGTGATCTAATGCTCACTACCCCCTCCCTGAGGAATTTCCATCTGATAACCAGATGAAACCAGCTGAATAAACTTTGTGTCATCATTTCAGGACTCTTGGATTCTCATAGGCGTTATTCTTGGCCATTCCTCGACATACCTCGAGAATGTTTATGGATCTCACCAGAGGACACTGGCTGATTATTCCATCCTTATCAGAACTCTTACAGTGTCCTCGAGAGCGTCTATGGACATGATCACCGCTCTCGTCGTCTCCCCCCTCTGTAGAATGTCTACGTCACTATGTGCTTGTTTGTGCGAGGTGTTTTTTAATATCAGAGTTTTTCTTCTCAGGCAGGAAGAAAAAGTCTGATAGGAAATTTTTCGCCTCCAATTCCTACGTGTCCACTTTCATCAGTTTTTGTCTGTCTAAACAGATCTCACTTGTAAATGAGTGTTCTAGGCTCAATGTGACTTATCTGTCTAAATAAAGGTTGAATGAATGAATACCATGGTGAAATTGTCTCTCTGCATTTAACCCATCCACCCCCAGGTGGAGCAGTGGGCAGCTATTGAAAGTGCCCAGGGAGCAAGTGGGGATAGGGTGTCCTGCTCAGAGACACCACGAGAGGTGCAATGACTGGGGATCAAACCTGGAAGAGTGTATGACTGAGGAGGGCAACTCTAAACGTAGGGACAATGACAGGCAAAGGTAGAGAGCTGGCCAACATGATGCAGAGAAGGAAGGTAGATGTTTTATGTGTCCAAGAGACCAAGTGAAAGGGCAGCAAATGCTAGCTTGATTGTCAGTGCTTGTGTAAGAAAGGGCATCCAGCGTAAAACAATTTCCAAATCTGTGTGCAAGTTGCTGTCTGTGGCGATCCCTGAAGAACAGCCAAAAGAAGAAAAACAAATAATTGACTGCATCACAAATCTTTATATGGTTTAAAAGATTCTGTAAGGCCTTCCCAAAAACTAAGAGCCCCATGTTTTTGTCCCACCCACTCTACATCAACATTGTGATTGGTTAATTTTCCTGTCATTAAACAAACTCATCCATCAGAGACTCTGAATGAGTTCTTCTGTCCTGACAGGGAACTCCTAACCATTGAGAAAGAACATTCAAACATGATTCTGCCCAGTGACACAAATTTAAAAGAATCTGATTGGATGACCATAAGGTAGTTTAAAGAAAATAAAAGAACTTAGCAAAAATAATAATAAAAACTAAATGAACATTTACATTTTATACAAGTCAAGTGAAGTTTATTGTCAATCAAACCATGTAATTGTACATTACACAGAGGACTGAAATTGTGTTTCTCCAAAAAAAAAAACTCCAATGTGCATTATTAAGAAAACGTTGACACACAACTAAGCATAAAACCTAAAGCAAAAGCTAAGCATAAAACACCACATAAAAGCTAATAAATATCAACAATCAACACAACATAAGACAAGCTGTGAGGATATGGTTCACAGACTAACATAGTGTACTGGAATCTATTCAAGTTAAGATATGTTACTCAAGTACATTAGTAATAGTACAGATGTACAAGGTGCAAAAGGGCAAAATAAAAAATAGTAGCATGAAGATAGATATGTTTAGTAAGCTTGTTATGCTCTTATGCAAGAATAGTTTTGGTATATGTACATAAGAAAAGTATTTTACAGACACTGAGTCTGCTGTTTTCACAGTTAGCTGGTCTTTTATGTGTGTGTGGGAAATATTCTTGAAGTTTGCATGAATGAGTTAAGCAGTCTGATAGCCTGCAGGAAAAAAAGCTGTTACTGAGTCTGGTAGCCCTACAACGCATACTGCTGTAAGACTATATAATATAAAATAAGTATTAAAATAAAATGTCAATGTAACATTTTAGATGGGATGAATTGTAAATCCTTCTCTGAAGGCATTGAAGGCCCTGAGGGTTCCCCACTAGAACAATATGATATGGAGATTTAATGAAGATTTAATGATCTATGAAGATCTATAGAAGGTCTATGAAAATTTAATAACTGGGAGCACACAGTGTGAAATGTTCATTTTATTATTTCTTAACCTTTTTATTTAACCAGGCAACTCCCACTGAAATCACAGATCTCTTTTGCAAGAGAGGCCTGGGCCTGAAGGTAGACTAACATTCATGTTTTGAGTCTGTGGGAGGAAACCAGAGTACCTGGAGAAAACCCACGAAGCACGAGAAGAACATGCAAACTCCACACAGAAGGACCCCAGGTCCAACCGGGGATTGAACTCAGGACCTTCTTGCTGTGAGGCAGCAGTGATAACCACTGAGCCATCGTGCTGTTTAAAATTTTTACAATCTGTCCAGTTCTGATGTATCACACTTGAGTTGTTTTTAGTTCCTTGTTTGTAAATATTCTGCAAGAGATGCTTTCTGTCACTTTTTACCTATTTAATAAGAAAAGGAAATAAATTTGCTTTAACTTTTGTTTTGCACTGTGACTTTATTTAAACAAAATGTGTTTACTTGTTCCGTTTGTCCATCAGAGGCCTGATTCTGTTTCCTGTCTGTCAGAAAAGAGCCAGCAGGAGGCGCTGGAGTACTTCACCAAACAGATGAACGACGCTCACCATGGAGGCTGGAGCACCAAGATGGACTGGATCTTCCACACCATCAGACACATGCCCAACGAGCACTGACACACAACTACACAACAGACACA